AGCTGCGAAAACTGGAATCTTTCTGGTGCTCCTCTTCCAAAAGGGGGGAGATGTGCAAAAATGGCACAGCTTCTGCCCAACATGGCAACCAAACTAACCTGCGCAGCACTTGGCCGGCCACTTCATCGAAGATCGCGATCAGCTGAGGTTAAGGGAAGGGAGGTGCAAAAGTAAGGAGAACTAATGAACAGGAGCAGCTGCAACGTAGGGGGTGGTTTGCCTTCTTCATCCCAATCTGCACTTCGCCTGAAACTCTGCGATGTCCTGCAAAATGTTGCCCACCCAGAGAAGAACTTAAAGCCCAAGGCCATTCGGACGTTACAGAGTTTGGTTGTCGAAGGCCTCACACAGAAGGCATCAGGCAATCAGCTGGACGCTGAAGCAGCACTACTGCGACCCATCCAAGGGTGGCATTCCCCATGCCGCACATGGCCAGGGTCTTCAACCCGCGTGGTGGGTATAAGCCGTCAGCTTGGCGGTCTCCACGGCCAAAACCCATATCGGACCTGGAGGATCCGCTCCAAAAAGCTGGCAAAGGTATCCGCGACTAACCAGCATGCTGTAGTCCAGGCTGTAGTTGTGCTTTGGGGGGATGAAGTACTTTCTCCAGAGGGTTTCACCTTGCGATAGGAGCAGGTTGCTCACCAATGACTTCAGGGGAAGCTTGGAGTCGATAGGCGGCTTAAGGGGAACACCTCACCTTGGGATACCTTGCGGTCTGTGGGCCGGGCTCAGCACAGCGCCAGGCAGCACCTCTGTGCTGTTGCTCCAACTGTCGTGCGCGGCCTGCGGGATCCCCATGCTCAAAAAACCCACACAAAGCAAAGGCCCCCGCTGGTCTTTGCCGTGTTTTTTTTTTTTTGGCTATTCTCTTGAGGATTTGTTTCTTGAGCTGGCTACCCTAACTTCTCCGCTTCCTGCTGACTGGCGCCTGGTGTGCGGCCTCAACCCCGGCTTCATTCGCGCTGCTGACACTGCGGATCACCATCCGCATTGACGCCTTGGATGGAACATTTGGGTGATGTCAGATCCGGACACCTTGGGTGAGGAACGCCAGCAGCAACCCTAGATGGATGACCCTCTCAGTGGTAGTGCTTCGTTTTAGACCCCCACAAATCCCCACAAGCGGGGGGGGTCGTAACGTTTCACCTGTTGTGGTTGCCGCGTTGTGACGCCACATTGTCCTTGGGCAAGTCCCGCCACTTAACATTGGGTCATCCAGCTGATCGGTGCTAAGCTTGTCAATGTCCCAATTAGGAAAGACCCTGGTCGTAACGGGAGTCAGCAGTTAGCTTCCCTTGCGCGTGATTGTGTGGGCCTCTCCGAGTGGAAGGCGGGCACCCTTTTGTTCTGTTCTCAGAAAGGTTGTATCGCCCCTTTGTGCCGCTTCCGTGGTTTTTTCCGACTTGGACCTCCTAAAAGGGCACACCAAGCCCTCAAAAGTTGACCACAAAACAGCCAGGGCAAGGTTGGCAAAGGTTGCGCGAGACTGAACCCCCACGCCCCGGCGCAGCATTTTGGACAGGACCCACGGAAACGGATGCTCAACATCACCCTGCACGCCTTTGGGCCTGAGCCGTCGGCATCCGCATAGGCGCCTGGCGCTTTCTCTGCCTGGGCGTTTGGCAGATTTGACTGCCTGCGAATCATTTAAACATATAATCCGCACAAGTGAATGTAGACGAATTCACACATCAGTCGCGTCAAACAACAGAGATCCCAAAACAAGCATCACAAAGATTGAGGCTGTCTCTATCCCCTGACCTGAGAAATCGCCAATCTTGTTTTCCCAAAACAACAAACTTAAAGTCCCCCCTCAACCACCCATTTCTGCGACTCCGACGGGCCGGAAGATGGAAAAGATTTCTGATATTTCTGAGGACCACTTGTCCAGCAGGCATTGGTTACTCAGCAATGTACTTAGGCTGCACACGGCGCAATGATAGAAAGAAAGACAAATCTGAAGACAAGTTGTTTCTTATATTTTCGCCTTTCCATCTGTCGGCTACTCAGCGTCATGAACGCTAGCATGGTTCTGTTTCGGGACAGCAGGTTCAAATGTGCCTTTTGGTTCAAAGCAATCGAAGAGGCGACCCGTCCAGAAAGCGCCTGCGAGGTGATTCAAACCCAACATGGCGCTCTAGCTCCACACGTCAAAACCGGCAGAACATTGCATTCAAACCAAGGCCCTGTACACAAACCTAAGCACTACAACCCTCAAAACCTGAACCCTAAATTTCAAAAGCCGAGCTCAACAGGGAGAATCAACGCTTAAAGCCTAAACTCTAGATACCGCAAGCCCAACAAGTACATTCCAAGGAACCGTAGCCAATGGCAGGGCGACTGCCAACAATCAAGGCCCACCAATGGTCACATCAAACAACTATGTACCCTTTGCACAAATGTCCCAGGGAAAAAGATGAACATGACATGCTAAGTTTGGAGATTGACACGTGGAGCATGGTTTCAATCATGTCAGAATTGGGTTGCACCTGTCCGGTGGCTCCACGGACACAAAACGAAAACTGACCAGGAGGACCTGTGCAAGGACATCACATGCACTGGAAACAAACACTTGGAGCAGCCGTTCCTTCCTTGGTCTCCAACAAATTATGAGCTGTATCCACTTGCGTCTGATGGCATGTTCTTGTTTGCATGCAAGAATTCGAAAATCAAACCTGTTGGTTGGAAGTGCGTGAACCGTGTTCAAGCAGCATTCACCAGCCACCCGCCGGCCCCCCTGACGCTCGCCAATCGATGCCATGGAACACTCCAAAGCAACATGCCGCCCTCATGGGCGTGGAATGCGCCTTGCCACTCCCAATCCTCCGTCCAAGGGCAGGAAGCTGCTTTCGCCGCACCCAGCAGGGCGCAAACCACTGGGACTCTTCTAGCCATCATGGAAAACCTGCTGCGACTGAGGCGTTTCTGGGCCAAAAAGGCGCTCAATACAAGGCAAATTGAACCAGCTGCGGGTTGATCAACAAATGCAAGTGAAGTGACCAGAACATCAGGACGCCATAGGATCTTCCACCCAAAATGGGCAAGCCTGGTTTACTGTAAGAGTGGCAATTCATTGGACGCGGGTTTGATCCGCTTCGTTTGTGGTTGCCGCTTGGTCGGTTGCCTGCAGCGCCGGACAGGCGGACGGTTTCGAACACATGTAAAACAAACTGCGCATAGGGAAAATGAAGGCAACTGCCGGTCCAGAGTCAAAGCAACACTTTGACCTTTGATACCTTCACCACCCAAATTAACAAGAATGCCCAATTCGCAGCGATTGGCAGAACACGCGCTCCTCAACCTGACAGGCAGATCGAGCTTGACGCGGCAAGCGGCTTGCCAGCGTGAAACCTACAAGTATCTGCCCCAAGAAATACGTCCTTCGACCCAGCAGTCAATCTGAGCATGGCGGAATGTAGAAAGCGTGTCACGCGGAGGCCCCTACTCCAATGCGATAGCCCTGAGGCATTCGGGCCGATTCCGCCATCTGGCCGATCCAGACACGACTCTTTTCTTTCATATGATTGGGTCTGTTTACGTGTTTACTACAGAGGGAATGTACTTGTCAAATGTATGGGCAAGATGTAGAAACACCGTCACGCAAAATTATATAGTATAGTCAAATTCCATCTTACTATGCTGAATTAGCAATTCACACTTGTTGGCTAGTGTTCACCAACAAAAGCGGGTGTATAAGAATGATTTGTGATCTTTCGTGTGGTACCCTTTCGCTGCATGTTCGGCGATCTGCATTGATTTTTTCACTGCATTTTTAGCGTGAACCCACCATGCTACAAACGTGAAACAAACGAGGAAACTCTCACAGCGCTGCCGTCACCGTGCCATGTGTCGCCCCATTTTCCAGTTTTCTTGCCTTCTCTCTCGATATTCGCGCTACAGAAATTCCAAGGACGGATTGAGTGCAGCGTGCTGCGCTGCGATGCGTTGCACAGGTGGGGCTGGCTGACTTGGATGCAAATTGCATCCTCTTGCCCCCTGGAGGTTTTGAACATGCCAGGAAAGGGGGCAGAGTGCCAGTCATCGACGCTGACCGACATGTGTCAGCAGCCACCATCAATGCTTCAACTCAAGTCTGAATGCGTCAGACTGCCATCAGATTGACGCCAGAAAGACGCGAAGAAGCAAAGCACACCAAACAAACTGAACCTACCCGAAGTCAACCGGTAAGACAGTCGCATGTAGCTGAGAATTGGTGGTCTAAGTATCAATCGGACAGAAGCCCTTAAGGCTTCTTGGCGTGCCGTAGCGCGCTCCAACCATTGCCAAGCCCTTGTGGCTTCTCAGTATGGTAGGGCCTGGCCAGAGTGTTCTTCCAACACCCAACCTGATTTGTGTTGACCTTCATTTTGCCTCATTTGTAGTGTCCAAGTCAAAAACCAGGGCCCCCTGCTTTTGTAACTGCTTTCCGTGGGTCCACACACGGACGCTGTCTCCAGCTAAGGCAAGCACTGCTATCGCAGGTGCAGCTCTAGGCTGCTCCGCAACCCATCACCCTGGGTCCATGCGGCTCTCGGCTGAGGTCCCCCCCCCCCCCAACCTGACAGTTCTTCATGCCCAAGTTGCTGTTGACCCAGGTTTCCCCTCATAAATGACTCAACACATCAGCCGCTCGGCATTTACGGGAGCCTGCGCTGGGGCCCGGGCGCCTGATTCTACATGTCAGGCATTTCCGGATGATACTTCTTGATCTCCTGGTTTCCAGTGGGACTTTCTCACGGGATACTGCAAGCGAAGTGCCGCATCGCCCGAGCGAGCTCCGCTTATGCCATCGACGAAGGGCTTGCGTTGGACCATTCTACATGTCAGGCATTTCCGGATGATACTTCTTGATCTCCTGGTTTCCAGTGGGACTTTCTCACGGGATACTGCAAGCGAAGTGCCGCATCGCCCGAGCGAGCTCCGCTTATGCCATCGACGAAGGGCTTGCGTTGGACCATTGACAACACACCCTGCCCCAAAACACAGCACTTGCCTGC